TAGAGACCACTACCTGTGGAGAGGAGGGGAGGGCAGGTAGCTGAGGGCTCTCAGCATCCACAACCCCTCCTCACCATCGTGCAATAACAAGTATCAACCTATACATGCCCTTCTGATTTTATTCTACAAGAGGGAGGAGAAGTAGATCCAAGTGGCCTCACTTTTCTAGTGGCAGAGCCTTCCTGGAGTAGCTGGAACCCGGCAGTGATGGGACCCATCCACATCAATGATGAGCACCCACTATCTGTTGGGTTTTTAATGCACGTTCCTGGGTTTTGGGAGCTACTTGGGATTTTCCTAACTCTTTAGAAGTGGGTATTTGACTGTAGAGTATAATGTTTTTTTTAAGTTTTTAAATTTATTTTTAGAGAGAGGAAAGGAAAGGGAGAAACATCGATGTGAGAATGAAACATTGATTGGCTGTATCATGCACGCCCCCTACCAGGGATGGAGCCCACAACCCAGGCATGTGCCCTGACCAGGAATCAAACAGGCAGGCAACCTTTCGGGGCACAGGATAATGCTCAACCAACTGAGCCACTGTGGCCCTGTGTTTTTTGATTGTTTATTTTTTGGGTGTATTTTTTTTATTCATTCAAGTATTTACTGAGCAGCTAGGGAGATACAAAGGTGTTTAAAACATGGTCAAAGAGGTGAGGCAAATGAACAAGTAGAGTAGAAAGAAAAGTTCACTGAATCACAGCAGCCAAAATAGAAGTGCTTTAGGAGATTAAGGTGAGATTGCTTTCAGACCGGAAGGGGGCATGGGTGGGTGATAAGTCAGGAAAGGGCATTGAGATTAAAATAGAAGACTTCAGTCTGGACTGTTGATGATGCTCAGCAAGGACTATATTTATCTCTCCTTTTTCTCTTTCCCCATCTTTGGGCTTAATTTACTAGTAGTGCCAGGATTATTTAATGTATTTTTTCAATACTTGCTTTGCATTTTTGCTTTAATGCCTTCTACAGAACTAGGTGCTTTCAGTGTTTTAGGAGGTTTTTTTGTTTGTTTGTTTGTTGCTGTTTTTTTGAAGGATTCTTGACTGTTTGATCTTGGTGTTGATGGTTTTGAGTCTTTTCCATTCTGGTTTGATCTTTGTGTTTGACTGGAGTATCTTGTGCAAATTTCTTTACTGGAGATTTTTCTTCAGCTTTTTCTTCTTCATCCTCATCATCTTCATCATCTTTTTCATCATCATCTTCATTAGCAGCAACTTTTTTCTGTGAAACTTTGCTAGCACTTTCAAGGGCAGAACACATTCTGGATATACTTAGAAGTTTTACATCCTCCTCTTCATCTTCTGACTCTGCATCTTCCTAAGTGCTGTGCACAAAGATGCACGGGCCCTGAACCACACTTCAACCATAAGACCACAGGGGGTGTTATTTCAAAGCCACCAAAGGAAACCGTGAGCTGTCCAGACATTTCCAGGGTTGCAGTGTGAACTGTCATTGGACTGCCTTCACAGTTCATCGCCTCTGCTTCACAATGTGCAGTGCATCCTTTGCACCAGCCCCTAAGCTGGCCGCTCATAAAGATAATCGGTGCTCCTTTTCATCATTATCCACCTTAAAGTGATCATCTTTGTCAGCCTTGAGTTCACAACTGAAAAGATAGTTCTGGGGCCTCAGAAGGCTCATGTCTATGTCCATCAAATCTTCCATGGGCTGGTAGCACGCACTTAGCAGGGAGAGAAGGTGAACAGAGAAAAATGACTTCTGTTCCCCAGAACAGACGCATAGGACAGAATTGCACCAGGGAAAACTCTCCCTTATTTTCCTTCAGCCCTTGACCAACTGCTTTTGTGGGCAAGAATCATGGGGTGAATACTGTTAGTGTTTGTTATTTCTGTAATTGTCAGAAGTGGTGGGCAACCTGGCTCTTTGAAACGTGGAGAAATAAGTACCTTGTAGCACAAAAAGATATAAAAAGGAATTGTGGATGGCATTGTCAGAGGTAAGAATTGGGCAGGTTATGTACCTACTGCCTCATTATTTTGGGCTCTCCGACTGGTACATTTGCAGACCACAGGCTACTGCCTGGCATCCGGTGGCTTTGGGCAGCTCTTGGGAAGGCATACACGGACCTGTTGCTCTGTTCTTTCTCTGCAGTTTGCTATATTAAGCCTTTAACATTTTCTCTTAAGTTTTATATGTGTGTATGTGTATGTCTGTGTGATCTTCAGATACTCCATATATAATCTTCACGTATTACCACTGATAGGACAATGTGAAGCTGCCAACATTGTCTCAACACTCCATTAAAAGCACAAATAAAGCATTATCTGAAGAATGGCCAGTATTAGTATGAAAACTGAAGGCTGTTTTGTTAATCCAAAGGTGCATGAATTGACAGAGGGTCTCCGCCAATGTTTATAGATGATACCTGCCCAGAGTTGGTTATCAGGGGGCCTCAGCAGAATCCCACAGATGAAGGCTTGGTACCAGCTATCCCAGGAGGTTGGGCAGGAACAATAGTCTGAGGACCTGAGGTGGCAGTGTGCTTAAGCACACCAGCTCCCATGTCTCCCAGGGGCCCGAGGACGTATGTAAGAGTACAGATTCCAGAACCCTGTCCCACGCAGTGGGACCCCCAGAGCCTTGTGCCCAGAGCACAGGGGCTGTTTCTATAGAGAAAGATGGAGACACCAAAGGACTAGACTCTTGCCCTGGGTCTGCAGCAAATTTGGAATGTGATCTCAGGTCAATCCCTTACCCTCTGGGTCTCCATTTATTTTGTTTTAAAATGAAAACAATTCTGCCTGGTTATCTTCCTGGGTTACTTCAGTGAGAGGGAGGGTGGGAAGGGAGCATCCATGTAATGTTACTCACATAGGCCTCTATAGAGGTGAACATCATTATTTCCATCATTCAGGTCAGGAAGACAGGCACTGAGGGGTTAAGGAATTTGCCCACATCCCATGGGAGCCCATATTTGGAACTTTCCATTCCTTCAAGGTGCTCCTTTGAGATTTTAGAAATCAGGTAGAGGCTTGGTCCTCAAACTGAGGCATGTGGACCAGCAGCATCTCCTGGGAGCTTGTTAGAAATGCAGATGCTCAGGCCCTGGCCCAGGCTGCCTGCGTCAGAGTCTGCATTTGAACGAGTTTCCCAGGTGATTCCTGTGCACCTTAAAGTTTGGAAGCACTGTTGTGAAAGAGTTGAGATCAGATGAGAGAGAGTACATGTGAGAATGAGATTATGGCAAACATGCATCATTCAACAAAAATGTGAGGTCCTCACAGGGATGAGCAATGAAGAAATCTTTACTGGGAAACCTGTCCGCTGTTTCAGCCCTTTCTGAGTTCCGTTCCAGGGGGAGCCTGGTCTGAGAAGTCCAGACCTCCCAAAAGAACAGGCTTTACATGGAAACAAAGTGTGTGTGTGTGTGTGTGTGTGTGTGTGTGTGTGTGTGTGTGTAAAATTCAAAGATAGCAGGATTACTTTTCTTTTTCAAAATGAAAGAAGGAAAAGTCAGGAAGAAAGAATTTAACAAAGCAAAGTGTCATCACTTTTCACTTATGTCAGGAGGGATTCCTTTATGGGAGACAGTATCCAGCATCCACCAGGTAGGGTGGCCAGTTAGGTGGGGGGAAGTTCAGTTTCCAGAATATCTTTCCAATGACGGTTGGTCCTCAGTATGGAATCCTAAGACCCATCAGAGTGAAGGCTGTTCCCCTGGCCCTCAGCTGACATTGGAGAGCGGCCCCTAAGAATGCAACCAGCTTGAGGAGTATGGAAAAGCATCGGGCAGCATCCCGAGCTGCTGGTCTTGGGGGAGCATCAGTCTGGCACAAAGAGATTCTCAATCTGGGGCCAGAATGTCCTGCAGGATCTGCTTCGGGGAAGAGTGCGGGAGGCTGTGCCTCTCCTCCTTGCTTCTTCCAATGAACTCTGCTGAGGCTGCACAGCATCCCTGGGCGAGCTGGGATTTCTTACCAGTGACTTTTAACACATGTTCTCATGTTGAAATTTGTAATATGTATGCGCTGCGTTATTTAACCCTTACAAGTCACTTTTCTGAGACCAAATCTTTTTGTAAAGTGTACATTCTTGAAAGAGTCAGGACACCACTTGTCAACAGCCTCCCAAGCCTTCATTTACGTTCATGGCCCCAGAAAGAGCCAATCGGGAATATCACACAGACCTGATCCCAGCCTTTGAGAACTCGTACGGGAAGGCAGACTTAGTGACACATAAATTAATGTCCTGGCTGCAGATGTCAATCCAGATGTGGGTACACATCTGCTAAATCAGAGACTGTACATACTAATTGACATACCAAAGACCCTGAGGTCCTGTCATTTTAACTTGGGGTTCTTCCACCACCCTCCGCCCTGATCTTCCTGTATTGGTGTCACTTCAGACTAGCCAAATTAGAATAGGCTAAACCAATTTTTTCATAGTCTTTCCTTCTTCCTCCCTATTTTTTTCTTAAATTTTCAAAAGTCTGGAAGAAGGGGATTTAGGTCAGGATGATACCATCATTCTGTCACTTCTAATTTCATTCTGTTAACAGTTTTTTGAAACATGTAGGTAGAAGCTTTGATTTTGAAACATCATGCACTTTTTAAGTTTTGACTCCCAACAGTAAAATTTCAGATCAGTTGTAAAAATTCTCAAGAGTGAATATGAAAGAGGAACTGCCTAACCAGTCTCCCCTAGAGACCTGGAGTCCTCACTCCCTTCCCAGCCGCCTGATTTCAGAGTTACAGAAATTTAAGCAGGTGCTGGGGGTGAAGGCGAACTGGAAAAAGCAACTGGTTCCAAACCAGACTGGAAGACAGCCCCGCTGTCTTCTCCTTTCTCCCTCCACACACTGACTGATGCCTTCTGTCACCTGGAGATGAACTGGGGAAGGCTGGTTATTGACAGCTGGGCAATTTACACAATAAAGTTTAACAGTTTACATCCCCTTGTCTGACTTTGTCGATGTTTTCAATGGATCACCTTCTCAGGAGCCAGGACTGACTCTCTCCTTCTCTCTCTTTCCCTTCCAGCATGCAAACGCAAAGAGCAAGAACCAAACAAAGACAGGAACAATTCCCAGAAGAAATCCCGCCTGGTGTTCACTGACCTCCAACGCCGAACACTCTTCGCCATCTTCAAGGAAAACAAGCGCCCATCAAAAGAGATGCAGATCACCATTTCCCAGCAGCTGGGCCTGGAGCTCACAACCGTCAGCAACTTCTTCATGAACGCCCGGCGCCGTAGCCTGGAGAAGTGGCAGGACGACCTGAGCACCGGGGGCGCCTCGTCCACCTCCAGCACTTGTACCAAAGCCTGATGGAAGGACTCTGAGTTGGGCACAAGTCATTTCCAAATGAGTAAAACACATACCAAAAGAAAACACAAAGGAAAAAGACACTGGATTCTTAGCTGGGGCCCTTCACTGGTGATTTGAAAGCACAATTCTCTTGAAAAGAAACTTCTAGCTGTAATCATAGGCCAGGTGTTCTTTTTTGTTTTGTTTTTAATGGCTATGGAGCCCAAGTGAAAGCTGAAAATGAATCTCTTTGAACCGGACTTTGTCCTCTGAGCATGCTGAGCATCTCAGAAACCCAAATGGGGCCTTCCTGGAGCAAGTTCATTTCAGTGTAGTGTCAACCAAGCTCAGGATTGCTTAAAATGTCAACAGCCCCACTTGGGGGTTTTTCAACCTCTTGCAGTCAGAGTTCTCACAAGTAACCGTGGGAATTCCGCCTGAGTTTGGGCTCCCAAGATGCTACTTTAAGAGAAGACTCTAGCAACCAGAATGACCTCATTTGATTTCCAAGTGCTTAGCCACATCACACCACATACACCAAAGTTCACAGCCATAACATAAAAAACATCAGATATGATAATTACTGAGCACAAGTATTAAATATGAAGTTAAAAAAAAAACAAACCCAAGGACCTGTTTTTCCAACTCAGGCATCTTTTCATTGAATGGTTTTGAAAGATTTAAGTTGGTCCAGTTTACAATTTTCTTTTCTTTACCTCCTGGAAATCTAATATGGTCTTGGATCCATCAAAACAACAAATCAGTTCACTTGAGCTCAAAGTATCAAGCACAACAAAGATAAACAGAGAAGAAAGGAAGGTTTTGGATTCACCACCTCTGGATTTTCAAGACACCGATTGGGAAGTCATTAGGAATCATTGGGAATAAGGCTTCAAGCACATTTTGCAGTTTGCTACAAATTCTGTTTGTACATAATGCAGACGCACACTCAGGAGGCCAATTTAACTGTTATGGTACATGGAGCAAATGCAGCATTTTAAAAGATCTAGATTTTTTTAGATCATTAATGTATCCGTCTTGGTTGTTAGTCACCTGGTTCCTCCTATTGTGCATTCTGACCACCACGTAACTCATTCTCACTCTTTCAGATTTGGGTTGTTCTCTCGTCCATCCCATTGGTAGGGATGTTTTCAGTGTTTTCTTACAAGAAAAATATAATAATTCAAACCGCCATACATGTTATGCATCTAGTCCTAAACCTCTTCCATTGTTAAGTTGTCCTAGAAAAACAGCTGAATAAAACTGGAGAAAACACAGCACACCAAAGAAGCAGAATACTGCAAACCAAAGACATTTATTACTTGCCATTTTCTAGCCTAAATATACTGTGATTACTTTTAGAAATCAGAAAACCTCTGCAACTCCAAATGGCATTCAGCTCTTGCATTTGGCTCACCATCAGGCTGAGCAGACAGGCTATGCCAAGGACATCAGCCAAGCCACCCAGGGAGTGGCTGTCACCTTCCAACAGCAAGCAGGAGAGCGCCCACAGAACTCTGGGAGATTGCGAAGGTCACGATGTGCATATTTACCAGTGAATGGCCCCAGGTGGGCACCATGGGGGTGTTCAAAGCAAGCCAAACGCTGCAATGATTCTTTACAGACACTTGAGACTGACTTTTTTTTATGAATTACTTAATCGAAACCAAAGAAACTTTTTCTGCACCTACTTCTGCAACAAACAAAACTGTCCCATTAAGGTGAATAAGTAAATACGTAAATCAATGAAAATCACCACCAAGAAGAAGGAAGCACGCCAGAAAAAAAAAATACAGTGAGACACACTGTGTTCAAACAGACCTCTTGGGACATTTTTTGGAAGCAGATTTTAAAGAAAGGGTTGAGACAAGAATGGAAATAAGGAAAACGCCTCAGTGGCTGCTGCTTCATTTGACAACTCACGCGGTAATCTTAAAGTTGAAGATTGTCTTTAATTTGTGCCTATGCAGTTTTTCAAAAGAACACGGAACAGAGCAACAGAAACCTCAACAGCTACAATACCAAAGATGAGGATTTCTCACACCTTTTGTTTCAGTTCATTATCTCCTCTTGCCTGGCTAACATACTAATAGTACCATTGATCTGTATAAAGGTAATCAATTTTGTTTCTGAGCAACGAAAGGAAAGGGTCATTTATTTGATTTTATTGTTTCCCTTTCATCTTGTTTTATGGCTTTCTACCCTAATATGGAATCTCTCAAAAGGTTCTATGGACTCCAAGTTTAAGATGTTGGCATAGTGAACGACTCTCTTCTCTCTGCTCCGCAGAGTGGGGGGAATGGTAGTGTCATTTGAATGTTCTTTGCTAATCCCTTAGACTTAAGGTTCCTTCTTTGTTCAGTCTCATCATCAGGGGAGGGGAGGGGAGTGAGAGTCAGGGTTAGGGGTCTTGGTGACACATCCTCGCCCGAGCCACAGAACCAAAGAGTTTATAGAGGAATTGACAGCCTCATTTGATTGCTACATCCTAACAGGGCTTCATTTGGGGGTGGGGGGAAACATGTAAAAATAATTGCCAGTTTCTACTTTTCTATTAGCTTTTTAAAAATCAGCTGTAAAGTTGCATTTCTAAAGAAAGATATATATATATATATAATATATGAACACATATATAGACTCAACTTGACATTGGTGATAACCCCAAAATTATTGCTGCCCAAATTCATGTCTTGTTTTTATCAAGTGTTTCATTGATTAAGTATTCAGTTCAGAATTTTGCTCATTTCTCATGCCATCCCAGAGTTTGTTTACCACTGTGGATGACTTGGAGTATTCACATTTCTGTGAAAATTCTTGGCAAAGGTTGAAAGTCAAGTACAAGCTTGATAAGCTGTTGATAAATGGACCCATAGTGAAAATGAGTTTTATTTCTATTTGGAGTCATCACTCATCTACGCCTCAACCATAATCAAGGTGGTGAGGCCCACCCGCCCCAGAACTAGGCCGGGGCCAGTCAGGTGCTCATCTTCTGGGAAGGCTCCATGGTCCATTCCCACCACTTACGGAGATGAGGCCAGCCCAGAAATCTGTTCTCCAGGAGCGTCCCAGTCCCAGGTGTTCTAGATCCTCCTCGGTGAGTAGATCTACCAAAGGGACTTCTCAAAGGGGAAGTACCTCCCATTGCAGTGGGTTAATCAGGTTTCCTCAGGGTGGTAATGACCAAATTGCGTAGACAAGCCTGTGTATAACCACAGCTGGCTCTGGGGTAAGGCAATGGTGTTGTTGGGTGGGGGTGGGTCTCAGTCCTGGAGAGAAAATACAAAGCAGGGTCCTGCCCCTGGGAGCCCCATTGTCCCTTGTTCCACTTCTCACTCCCACCGTGTGGGTCTCCCTTCTCAGTGGCAGCAGCCATGGAGCTGTGACTCTCCTGGACTTTTGTCATTCACCCTACCTGGACTTTTCCGTGTCTCTTTGTCTCTTGCTCATACTCCATGTCTTCTTTGTCAAATGACCAAAAAAGAGCATTATTTCAGCAGGGGAACGCTCCATATTGGTTGATAAAAATGAATTTCAACTTGCATATTTCCAAATGATTCCTTGTGACTTGTGGCCAGTGGAAATGGTTGTTCTATCAAGAGTAGATTGAGCAGCCAAGCCTGCTTGGTTTGATTAGTGATTCTTTGGTACTCTAATCTCAGCATTTCAGTCTCTGGCAACATCGGAAGATGTCTACTCCAAAAGAGCAAAAATCTCTTTGTGGCCTGAGATTTCAACACTGGCCCAAATGAGGGGTAGTCACATACACCCTCTGTGTTCCTGGTGACCTGAGGAAGAGGTCATAATGTAAAAAACCAAGAACTCCCCTCCAAGGACTTTTCATAAACGTCTCACCAGAGAAATGTGTGTTTTAAAAAATTATTTACATACATACATGAATACATGTGTGTATCCATATATTTATGTATCAAAATTGTAAGCCCTACTGAATTTCAATTTGTTAAAAATCTGAAAGGGAAAAAAATCTGTACAAATTGAAAGGTAATGGAATTTGACCCATGAGTTTCCTCAAGCATTTTTAAATCTTACTTTTAAATTAATAATTTCAGGAAAAAATAATTGTTTGGTCATGTTATAGTTTAGGGTCCTTTTCTTCAATCCAAAAAAAAAAAAAATAAATTCCAGGCATGCCTCAGCCATCAGCAATGGAAGGGACAGTGTGAAGGGACAGTCCTGAACCAAAATTCACATTCTTGAGGCACCAGAAGTCCAAAGGCTATTGAGTGGAAAAATACTTTTCTTTATTCTTTACTTGTGTGTTCAATGTGATTTTGGTTCTGGGAATATAATTCTTTTATTCCAGGAATTTTTTATTAAGAGCCAATATTTTTTAAAGGAAAACAGCAACAATAATAAAAACTCAACCCCAATAATAAAGGCTTTTCCAAAATGTAAAATAGTGTGTAGGTTGTACCATTTACAGGTACCGGTGAGAATGAATCAGGAAGGACCCAGCCTGACGTTTTCTCCGGAGAGATGAGAGCAGTGGCTCCGTAGTATCTCTTTTCCTGCAGGCTCTTGGCATTTATGGACTTAGAAAATTCAAGCTAATTTTCATTCAGAGCTAAAGTAAAATAAAAATTAGGAAGGCAGATCTGATACACACAGGTATATATATATATATACATATATATACATGTTTGTAAGTCAAACAATGTATTTCAGAGCCAAATATAAATACCTTTTAAATGATCAATCATTTTGCCTTATCTATGCTGGGCACCCACCTATTAATGCCAATAAATTAAAGTTGAACAGATTTTTTAAAATCTTTACCACTGGATAGGGTCGGGAGGACACTTCCCCACTTTTGAAAATATTGGTAGAATTACACAGGTGTCTGTGTGATTGTCATTGCTATGTGTCATGACAATATACTTTGCAGTGAACTTGGATTTTCAGGAAGTTGTATAGTAAAAGTTTTTAAAAATATAAAAAGAACAGGCTGGGTTCCAGTGTTATTAAAGAATAATGAACTCTATTAAAAAGTAGAGAAAAAGAGATGATACATATGGTTCAAGTTAATACCAAGACCCAGACACAAGTACTGGGAACATAATTATCATGCTGATTTTTTGTTGTTGTTGCTGCTGATGTTGTGTGATTTGGACTTGTTAGCCTAACCAGGAGGAGTGAGTGGGGAAACGGCAGATGCAGAAGGGAGAGAGCTGGTGCCTATAACTTTCTGATACTTACCTGCGAGACTGACTAGCTTAATAATTGGGTACCTTTCACTAAGCCCAAGTCACAGTAAAAGAGCAGGAGATCCTAGTTATCGAGAAGCTTACAAAATTCTTACTAAAGGAAGAAGGGGCACCTGATTTGTAAGAATCTCAGAAGTTAATGACATTGGCTTTAAATATGGATGTCCCAATGCCAATTTTCTTTTCAAAAATACCCTTGATATTTTTCTTTCCAGGGGCAGGAGAAAGAGAGGGTTTGTTTATTTGTTTTAGGAAGTCTCAGAATGCATTATAAAATACAAAAACAATTATTAAAATAAAATAGGGCTTCACGTAGGTAGACACAAAGCTTATAAAGGAGGCTGATGGGCAATTGCATGAATCCCACAGGACCAGAAATACTCATTGTTCTCAGATACCAAAATGACTGACAGTCTCGGGCAAGTTAAAACTGGAGCCCAAGCTTTCCTTACAGGTGTTTGAGTTTGCCGACTGGAATTAGCCAGCTAATACCTTTTTAGTCGAGATAATGTGTATAGGAAAAAACACATTGCCACGAGTTTGGTCATCCCATGGAAGTCTTCCACTCTGCCCCATCTTTTAGCAGCAGACATTTCAAATAGCATAAACCTTGGTAGATACGTTTGCCTCAAGTTCACACAGTCTGTCAGCTTGGATGTATGCAGGTTTAGATACATCTTCTGACTTGTATTCTCATGATGTCCTTATAGCCACACACATTACCTATGCGTGTCTAGACTGTGCACAGATATGTGCGCACAGACATCTCCATACACATCTACTGTCATCTGTTACAATAAATAAATTTTAAATAATCATTTAACATGCATGTAGTACATCTACAATGTACATTGTTTTCATTATTTATTGTAACACGTAAAACTCAAGTTCAGGGGGAGAAAAGTATCCCAACATCTTCCTTGTGTGCACTTGGAGTTACCTTCATTTGGGCACATCCAAGATAAACTCAACTTTCAAGAAACCTTGGATGTTATTTAATCATCTGTGTAAGAATGATACATATGCTTGATTACTTCGGTTGAATAGCTTTATTCTGGATCTCTCATAACTAAAGCTAAATCCAAAGACCTGAAAAGGGACAAAAAGAATAAAACAAAGAAAAAGAAGGAAAAAAATAGCAAAAGAAAGCGCAAACTAATAGGGAAAAAGTGGACTCTGGTTCCCAGGGTTGAGACAATGGTGACGTGGTATTGTGGGGGCTGCGCTAGCTAGAGAGGGGGAAGTGGTGATTATTTTTCCATGCTTGTCACACCTAAATGGTCTTTCTGAGCATAAGTTTTAGAGGTTATAATTTCCTGCTTTACTTTCATTTAGACTATTGAAAGAGGTTAATAAATGTTGTCCATCAAAAAAATGAAGACAGTCAAAAGAAACATTTTTTTTTTCTTGTCTCTTTGGGTTATGACCCAACCAGCTATGTAATTAATTTAATTAGTTTCTAGTACAGAAATGTATAGGATGTGGGTAATTATTTAATCATCCTTCCTTAGTTTGATTTTACTCCTTGTGCTTATTTATCAAAATCTAGACCAATCTCTTGAAGGTTAGTTTGCTTTATAAAGCAGTGAAATTCTGTTACAGACAGGGAAGAAGTACAGGTTACAGGAAAAAAAGAGAAATCGAGGTATGTTTCCTTCTTGAATTAACTTTGAAAATAGTTTAAATAACAATTATTAAATTATTTAACTTAAGTTCGCAGCCTCACCTGGTACCAGGCAAACTTCACCTTTGAATTATTGGGGCCTGCAGAGCCTTCCTAATGTAACTTATTTATTTAACTTATTCAGCATCTGTGAAAGGTGCACTGTATAGTTTATATTTTTTATTTAAAACAACAGAGAGCACTATAGTTTGTTTGTGGTCAGAACAACAGAGCAAAGTTTGTGGACAAGCAATGACTATTCAACTTGAACCTGTGCATTCAGAAAACATAAGCCGAGACCCTGCTTCACCAGCCTGGATTTCGGGGCTTCTATACAGAAACTGGAAAAATACATTTTAAAAAAGCATAACTGCAAAAAGAGAGAAACCCTTACACTAGCTGCTTCCAAGAATGAACTCTGTGTGTGTGTAAAACAACAAAACAGAAAAGGAAAAAAAAAAGCAGAAAAAAGAAAAAAAAAGGAAAAACTTTCTATTTCTAGTGAGAACCAAAGAAGGCTACCTCACTGACTTTTTCCATTTGTAATTTTAATCGTGTTGAGACACCAAAGATACCAAAGATTTCTTTCTCTGTGCGGTCTGCATTTTGCTTGTGCTCTTTTACAATTTTAACTATTCTCTCTGATGTATGGTATGTACAGCCACAGCTCAGATACCCCAAAGAAAGAATTATCTGTGCGACGGCGGCTGCCAATTGGAGAAGGGATATTTTCTGTGTTTCTCCCGTTTGTTCCCCATCCCTGCCACATGTTCAGGATGCAAATTCAGATGCTGCTGTAATTGGGTTCCTTAAATTCCAATGCCAAATGGGTGAAGAAGTCTGGTTGGAAGTGGCCTTCAGTCCTAGCCATGACCTTGTCCTTATTATGGAGTTAAAACAGTAAAGATTTCCAATTACTGGACCACAGAAACTCTAACCACTCAACAGTAGAGCTAGAAGGGACCTTAGAAATCATTTAGCCAACACTCCCCTTCCCCCGGAGGCCTGGAGGAGTTGAAGGCTACGTAGAGGCAAAGGCCTCCTGCTCCAGTGCTCAGCGCTTCCTCTGCAGGAGACAGGCCACACGTTGGCAAAGAGCAGGGTGGCAATCCTTCAGCAATGAGTAGGGCCCGGGCTTATCACTTAACATTTTCAGTGGGTAAAAATAGTCAGAGGCATTTCAGTGTGTGTCTTGTTAGAACCTCAACAGAAAGTCACATATGGTCAGTTGCTATAAAAGTGGCCAGCCTTGAAACATCAGGGCCCATCGAGAGGCTTTTGCCTTGGAAGTACACATTGATTCGATGTGATCGCTATTGAAGTTCCCCATTACGAAGTGTGCTATACATAAACTTTCATTCAATGGGAAGAGAGAGTTTGTTCGTGGTCTGTTGAGTTTAATTATTATGGATATTTTAGGTTAGTATCAGAAAAAAGGAATTTGATCACCGTTTGTACAGGTGACATTTACTAGTAAGCTGTTCAGCTTTTGCCTTTTCCTCTTGAATTGTAGGTGTGTGTTTATATTTCATTTCTAGGCCAACTATGTACAGAATTTGTGAGAGAACATTAAGCCTTATGTCAAGGATTATTTATTGTAAATGAAAGATGACCCCAAAATTTCAGAGGAATAGACAAGCCAGTTAAGAAATGATTACTTAAAGTTGCTTCTCTCTTCCCTCCTTACTCATGAAATTAGTCTTTTTTTAAATTGCATTACATGATTCAGTCACTATTAAGGTCCATTCATTAGAGTGACTTGCATGTTGGCCAATGAATCATTCTCAGCTTCTGAGCAAATGTGTCTTAGACATATGCAAAGACCCACCTTTCATCTGTACAGCTCTTTATTGAGCACTAGTATTTTGCATTTCACATAGAGATGTGGTTACCTTTGAGCTTGTAAAGGGACCATTTAGACAAAGAAGCTAAGAAGGAAAAAGACCAATCAGCACATGCCTCGAGAAAGAGTAGCTAGTAGAGGAATTTAGAAGACAGATTGACCGCCTTTAGGAGACTCACTTATCCCCTTTCTGTGGTTTCCTAGCACCACACTGATTTGCAAAAGTTCCCTCCTGTCCAGACAAGCTGAAAGCTCTACCTTCCCCTATACATGGCAGGCTTGTAGGGCCTTCCTTCCAAACAGCACATTGCATTGGTTTTCTTCCCCAGTTCCTACTGGTGATAGAAGTCTCGGAACACCTGGGAGGCACATCAGAGATCTGAGCACTCAGCAGCAGAGTGCTCCCCTCTAAGCAAACACCACCTTCCCTGCCTTCCCACCACCGGGCCCCTGCAAGAGGGAACCTAGAGAGAGCGATGGCAGCCTGAACACAGAAAACATCCCCAATTGGCAGACCCCTCCTCAGCAATCTCCCCTCAGCCTCATGCTTCACTTGCAAAGTGTGACATAACCACGGGACGAGTGCCTTGCTTGAACCAAAGCAACGATTTAGCCAGTCTGGACCTCTCTGTGCTTTTTTTAATCCTTCCTGTGAATACCTCAGCTTCAACTGGGCCTCCATACAGTAAATTGGTGGGCTTATTGTACTGTGGTGCTTTGCAATGCAACCCTGCAAAGAACAAGATTTGTACTAATACCAAAGGTTCTCTCTGTCTCTTCCTTCTGCTCCCCGTCCTCCTCCCTTTTCTAGTTCTTCACGGTTCCAAAGCTTTAATACGAACCCTGGGCATGTTGGCAATGCAGACCGCGCAATTCCTTACCGAATTTTCTCAGATATACCTCATAGATAATAGTGTTTAGAGTAATGTTATTATAGCGTATGTAATAAATATTCACTGTTTCTTTTGGTAACTGTGATTTAAAAAAAGAAAAAAGAAAAAAAAAGCTTTATACGTTTTAGGTTGTGCTTTTGTAATAGATGAAAAGGTGCGCTTAAAAAAATGTATGTTCTTTTTTTTTCCCCTTTGGATTTTATTTATTCTTGATTGGGGAAAGTTGCAGAATGAGCCCAACGTTTACAGTTTCATATTTTGCTGAAGAAACAATCTGTGTTCATTTGCTCTGTTGAAAAAAAATTATTATTTTCTACATTTGTGCTACTTGGTCTGAACAATTAATTGTTCTGTGTTAACAGTGTAGTATTATAATTAGCAACTGCCAATCAGTGCTATAAGTTTATGCATGAGGCTAAAAAATTAGCAGTGTGATGCATTGTGGTCTTAATAGCAACATTTCATTTTAAACTAGATCTTCCTTCCCCTTTGGTTCAATGGACTTTATTTATGCATGGGCGCCAATCGTTTGTTAGCAGTTGTGGAACAGTTGTGTATACATTAAACTGTGAAAATGTACACAGTTCAGCCTCAGGCAGTGGTAATATTGGTTTTCATGGGAGATGTCTCACCTCAAAAATACCTTTACATCTGTTGGGATTTCAAAATGAGTCAGTTGAACTGGGTTCAAATTTTACGAGACCGGTCATTCCAAGTTTGAGTTAGCCAACTTGTTGTCCACAACTGGGATCCTTGTGACACAGCTGTCTCATGCTGTGCAAGAGGGGTTTGGAAACAAGCATTGAAAACAACTCAACTCTGCATTTTCAGTCTCCACAAAAGGGCATTATTTTGGCTTTATGTTCATGACCTCAGACCTAACTAGCCATGTGCATGGAGATGTGAATCCATCCAGCTCTCGCCTCTCCTGACTCTCTGGGAGTGGCCACTTGGATAATGCTTGGTTCCTTCTAGTATTTTGTTGTCAGGTCAATTCCCAATAGAAATTCAAATGACATCTATATCAGTAATTATTCTATGGCTTTTTATTGTTTTGTCCATTCTCCTGGACAACTCCAACTATTCCAGTGATTTGGGCAAAAATAGATGACCATTCCCTACAACATCACCTGTGCGGCCATATTGTGGTTCTTCTTCCCTAGCGTCGAAGAGGACTCTAACTTGCTCTTTCCTGCCCAATAATACAACATCTATCCTAAATGGGGAGTGGAAGAAATTTTGAATCCCTGTTTCAGAAAACCATCCTGTTTTAAACTCCCCAGTTATCTGAGGCTCTAGATCTCAAAAAGTATTTTTCATTTGCAAATGAAAACTTGTTCTTTCTTATATTTTGGTTCTGACACCTACTCTCAAGTTTCATACCTATTTCCCAAACCAAAATGTTGACATAAAGCCAAATCAACTGCCAAGCACACTTTGCATAGGAGAGTGCAGCCCAGAGTTGGGAAAGCAGCAACCTGCTATGCAAAACATTGGAAACCACCAACAGTAGAGCATTCATATTTCCTGTCGATGAGACAATGCTGGGAATTAATTTTCATTAATAACACAAAGAAACTTTTTTTTGGCCTTATAAAGTAGATGGTGATAAAGAAAGCTTTGTAATAGATAGTCTTTTTCCCCCCCACCTTATTAACCTGCCAAAGATGGGAATGGATACAAGAATTTTAAGTTGGCTTTTGTAAGACAGTTAATGATTGTAATCATGTTTAATCTTCCAGAAAACTTTATGTGTTCTTCCTCAATAAACCGAATCAATTATTTGTTTCAGTGAAGTTCTCACACTCACAAACCCACAAACTATTCCTCTTGATGCAGGTATTGTAGTATCTACAAGGTCCAAATGCATTTTCCATCCAAAGTAAACAGAGGAATGTCTGAGACATGAAGGTGCCCTGCCCTTTTTATTACAAGCAACGCACGGGTCTGGTCCGCTAGGATTTGCCACGAAGTCTTGTCATATGAAACTCGAGGTATATTTTGTTATGCCATCCTATGTCTTTTTTTTTTTTTTTTAGACTTTGTGGAAAGTGATATGTTGAATCAAGTGTAAGCTGAGTTTTCCAGACAACTGAAGTAGCTACATCGTGAATGTTATTTTGTTATTAAAGGGTTTTTACTCAATGCTTTGTGCCCGTGGGTGTCCTTTTCCTTGGAGACACAGAACTGTGGGATTACCTCAGTGTGGCCTGGATTTCGCTCCTGCTCTCATGGTGGGAATGTGGGCCCGGCCTGGGAAATGGAAGGTCATGGGCTAGAAGGTCAATGTTGGCGCTAGGAAGAGATCTCCGTAACTATCAGCTTTAAAGAGAGCTGGGCCCAAACTTTCCAGCTTCACTCTCTCTTGACCCCAGCACTTCTCCGGAATCCCTTGGCCTTGAGCACATGCCAGCATGAAGGCAGGCCCCAATTCTTACAGAAAAGGCAGGGAGAGAACGTAGTAATCCTCAGGCTTCTGTGGCCCAGCAGGCAGGCACCTTCCCCCAGGCTGGGCTCCACCAGCCAAGGTGTGGGCAGCCATCTGTCGGCTTCCCCTGCGCCATCGCTGCGGGTGTCTTCCTCCCCCTTGACTACAGCAAAAGGTCCAGGTCCCCACAGTCCAGGGGCCTCTTCCAAACCAGCCCCCATCACACTTCCTGTGCATTCTGGATTGGCTATTTCATCTATAATTTGCGCAGAGGATTGTTTGGAAAACAAAGCAAGGCCTGGATGGGTTTTTCTGTGATTTTGTTTCTAATTTATATCTTAGCTAGTCCCAGGTCTTTGATCTGGAAAAAGAAGAAGGAAAAGGAGACCTCACTGCCGCTCATGCCTTGCCACTCTCTCCGGGGCCAGGCACACTGCGCATGCTGTGGATCTTTCTTAGGGGACAGGCCGAACCACAGCTACTAAGCCAAGAAAATGGTCCGTCAATGCCTACTTTATCGCTGTTTGAAAGACGACCTCTTCAAAAAGCTGTACAACTTGGGGTTTCTTCCCATTCTCTTTGCTTTGTCTCAATTCGGCATTTAGCTTCAGAGTCAGTTTGCTGTCCAGGGGAGTTTTTCTTTGTTTGTTTGTTTGTTTTAATCCTCACCTGAGGCTAATTTTCCATTGATATTTAGAGAGAGTGGAAGAGGGAGGGAAAGACAAAGAGAAATATGATGTGAGAGAAACACATCAATTGGTTGCCTCCTGCACAAGCCCGGACCAGGGCCCAGGCCGGGGAGGAGCCTGCAACCAAGATATGTGCCCTTGACCGGAATTGAACTCAGGACCCTTTGGTCCACAGGCTGATGCTCTCTCCACTGAACCAAACCGGCTAGGGCAGGGGGAGTTTTGTTTTGTTTTGTTTTGTTTTGTTTTGTTTTCAGATTATGACAGGGAACCTGGTGAGAAAGGTTAAGTATTCAAAGACTGTCGGCTGAGTAATTGTATCATTAACAGATACTTCCTTGAAGCTAAATCATTTCCTTTCTTTACTATGTCATTTTGTGTTACAAAAGTCTAAATGGTACCAGCAAACTTCTTATCATGAAAGGCTATATGACATCTGGCAAATTGGAATTCCTGAAATAAGAAGACAACCTTCGCAATGACAAAATGATAACATCTAAGCTAGGCAGGCAGAGACCGAGATGGGAACAGGCATAATCTTTTGTTGTTAATCCTTACCCAAAGATACTTTTCCATTGATTTCTAGAGAGAGTGGAAGCGAGGAGGGAAGAGAGAGAGACACAGAGAGAGAAGCATAGATGTGAAAGAGACACATCAATTGGCTGCTTCCTGCACATCTTCTGACCTAGGCCAGGGATTAAGTTTGCAACCCAGGCACATGCCCTTGACCTGGAATTGAACCCGGACCCTTTGGCCCACAGACCCACGGACCATCCAGGGCAACAGGCATAATCTTGGCTCTGGTTTCTCTTCCAATTCATATCTCCAATCACCAAATCTTATTCTCTCCCCACCCCCTTGCCCCGCTCCCAATCCTAGAGCTCTCCAGTCTCTTCTCCCCTGGTCTAGGTGCCAAAGAATTTCACGGGCAAAGATAATTCAGGGTTGACCAACATTTCAATTAGTTCTCTTCTTTACCCTTTGCTTTTCTCAAAGAAGCTGTGTTTCTGGACTGTAGAGAAAGAGCCTGGCCTTTTTTATTTTTCCATCCTTCCTCTTCTGATCTTTTTTCCCATGTTAACATTTTATTAGTACAGGAACTGTAAATTGTTTCTTGGTCAATGAATTCTTACTAGAGAAACCACCCTCCCACCAAAGAGAGAACATGTTCCAGCATCTTTTCTTTCATTGATTGTTGTTCTCCAGATTGAGTCCGTCCTTTTTATTTCGCATGCTGGCCTGTGGGCTTGAATCCTTGCTTCCAATCTGGTAGTAACTTTATAATTTTAAAGAGGACTAAAATGAGGGAAGGGAGGAAGAGGGAAAGAAAAGAATTTGCCCCAGCTCTGTTTAAAGTTTAAAATGGAAAGAAGAGAGCCTTTAAGCCCTGGGGAAATGGCTACACGGTGGTTAACCTTCCCTGTGACAGCCCATGCTCTGCCACATGGCTTCTAGGTCAGTTCTTCCAGAAACCCAGCCATTAGTAGAAATCCAGCTCCTTTCCATGGGTCTCTATCCAGATTCCAAGGGGACAAGAGATCAAAGAGACACATGCACATCTCTGGTCCCAGTTCCTGGCTTTTACAGATGTTATTTCCAAGAAAATCATGGGGGGGGGGGGGACCTTAAACTTTCATTTTTTAGTCAATCTCTTTGACATCACCTCTCATATTTAAAATCAGGAAAACATGCCCTTCAAATTGCCATTCACTTCTGTTTTGAAAAAGAGAACCCTAGTTCATCCACATGCTTACTTTCTTTTCACCCTGAGCTAAATTTCCAAAGCATAGTATAACCTAGATTTTGCCCCATCTCAGACATGTTAAGTCAGACTGTGCTGAAAGATTTCCCAGGGATGGTCAACGAGGAATATGTTCAGTGGCTGCCCTGAAATTCTGCTGGGGATGAGGATCACATACCATTAGCAAGGGGGCTCCTTACCCCATGATAAGCTCCCAGTTTGGGGAAAGATGTCTTTGAATTTCAATTGCATTTTCAATTGGCTTAATTCACACCCTGATGTTTTGTCTGCAACACTGCTTACACTGGATTCTTTCTATTTTTATTCCTATCATTAAATGGTAGTGCTGTAAATTCTGCAATTAATGTCAAATAAACTGCTTTCATTCATTGACCATGGCTCAGTCGGCTTTTTTCTCTTTTCATGCAAAGGATGAAGCATCTTCCCCCCCCCCCCCCCACCACCACCACCAACTACATCCCATTGTAGTTCCTTAAAGGACAGGAAAGTTGTCTGCTTGGAAAGACTGCAACCTCTTCCCTCTGCCAGGATGCAAGGGAGATTTTATAATCAAATCTCTCATTCCCGTTAACCATCCCAACTGGTTAAGGATGTCCCCTAAGACTGCCTTTTTTTTAACCCATTAAAACTTTAAAGAAAACTTATCCTAAAATTATCCTTGTACAGATTTCAAATGAGCTCACATGTGCCAAAGCAAAAAGAGGATCCCACTATTGCCCCCCTATAGAAAAATCAAAAAAAACAAACAAATTTGGGGCCTCCCAAATTTGGAATCTAAGCTGTGCCCAAATTAGTTATATGGCTTTGAGTAAGCCATTGAACTCTCTGGGCTTCAGTCTCTCCAACAAGGTTAGGTTGGGATAGGTTATGTCTAAAGTCCCTTCCATTTTTTTTGTCAAAAAGTATTTTGAAGATATTTTTATTTTTAGTATAGGTCACATCTTGGCTTATTATTTTCTCTGAGTTAATACATTAAAAAAAATTCTTTTATTTGCTTTAAACTTAAATATCCCCAAGCTTCAAAAAAGTTCTATTAGGTAAATTTTGGTCTGTAATTCAGTCCATGAAGTACCAAGTGCCTTTATCTAGACAGCGGTTTTCAATTCTGAATATACATTAGATTCACCCACAGAGCTTTTTTGTTGTTGTTAATCCTCACCTGAGGATATTTTTCCATTGATTTTTAGAGAGAGTGGAAGAGAGTGGGAGAGAGAGAGAGAGAAACATTGATGTGAGAGGGATACATCAATTGGTTGCCTCCCCCACACACCCTGACCAGGGCCAGGGATCAGCTGGGGATCGAGCCTGCAAACGAGGTACGTGCTTTTGATCCCAGGACCCTTCAGTCCACAGGCTGACCCTCTATCCACTGAGCAAAATTGGCTAGGGCCCAGAGAGCTTTTAAAGTATACTGAAACTTAGGTCCCATCCAACCAATCAGATTTGACCTCAAACACTTGTGTATTAGTTAGCTTTTGCTATATAATGCCACTCTAAACCATAGTGACTTAAAAGAAATACCATGGGTATAGCTTACAATCCTCTTGGTTGTCAGTGTGGGCTAGTCTTAACTGGGTGGTTCTTCTGGTCTTGGCTGGGCTCACTGGTACATCTGCAGTGAGCTCCCCAGATGCCTGGGGACTGACCAGTCTCAGATGGCTTTTGTTTAGACAGCCCTTCAGGCCTAGGCATGGAACTGGTACAGTCCCTTCTGCCATATCCCATTGACCAAAGAAAACCACAATAGGCCGGGGGGTGGGAGGGGCTTGGAGGAGGCAGCTGATCAATGATTCTCTCTCCTCATTGATGTTTCTATATCTTTTTCCCTCTCCCTTTCTCTCTGAAATCAATAAAAAAAATAGTGGAAGAGAAAAAAGTTCATGTTTTATCTATATCCCATGTCAGAGAAGATTGGAGAGCATCTTAATTTTTAAATAAATAACAATACTTTGTATTTTTAAAAATACTTTTCTATTCATTCATTTTTTTCATCTCAGTTTCCTCTGTTGTGCAGGTATTATTCTTATTCCCATTGAATAAGTAAGGGCTAAGACTTTAAATCATCTTTTTCATGCCCATTTCATAACAACAGCTTCTATATGAATATATACTATGCTCTAGACATTATGCTAAACACTTTACATGGTTTATATCATCTTGTTCTCCCAACTACCTTTTGAAGCAAGTTTTATAATTACAAAGAAAGGAACTGGGGTTTAGAGAAGTCAAGTAACTTGCTACAGGTCCCACACTAGGCAACCTGATTCATTTGTGTAGTTCCCTTCAGTTAATGGCAGAGCTTGTATTCTTTCAACAGGAAGTCCTGATTCCTAAGCAGAGAGGGGGAGGGGGTTAAGGTAGACAGTTCCAACATCTCCACAAAATGGGTTTACAGTTATGATACTGCGGTTTAGGGCTACTCAGAGCTTGTTCACATTTCCAAACCTTCATTTCACTCTTGGGGAACTCTACCCAGGTCATGGGCATGGAACTTCATGGAGCTGCCAGCCAATTATTTGGGACTCCCCACACCACACAGCAGTTTAATACAGCAATACAGCACCCCCTAAATATGCTTTAATCCCCAACACAGAAAAAAAATCAAACCAAAAAAAATAGTCATCCATTCAATAACACGCATATATGCACACATTCTCATTCACACACGTGTGTGCAGAGCATGCCCTCAGCAAAATCCTGAGGCAGATGAAATTCATCTTTGATGGCCTTTCCTTATGTTTTCGGGTTCTCCCCACAGGTCCCCCAGGCCCTCATGCTCAGCCCCATCCTGGCCTGCCCTCCCAAGCCAGGATAGCATCACAAGCTAATGGGTAGCTGGGCTTGCAAAACTGTACCCAGGGTATAGGAAGGATGGGATGGAGACACCAAACACCCTTCAGGGCAGGAAAGAAGTCAGGGAGGGTGGGTTGGCAAAAACAATGATTTTTTAAATCCATTTACTGGTCATTTCCTGAGAACTTTGAAAGTTAACTACCTCTGTGCTTTCAACCTATAGAAAGTGAAATGGATTCTGCCCCTAGTGTTTCTGTTCAGCCAACTTATAACAACAGCTTCTATATGAATTGATTTGTACCTCTAGCCCAGTGGTTCTCAACCTTGGCTGTACATTAGAATCACCTGGGAATCTTTTTAAAATCCCGATGAGGCCCAGAA